TTGATTGGGCAGCTCGCTTTACTGGTGTGCTTTGTGCACATCTGTCTGGCAAGAACATAATTCTGCAAATTTATTTCCAGTTGCACTAATAGACAATTCTATCTCTTCATCATACAGAAATTAGTTTTCATGAGATATCTGCATTAAAAAATGTGGTAACACTTTACTTGAAGGGGTGTACATAAGACTGACATGACACCTTCATAACCATGACATGACATATGTGATGAATATGAAGTAGGGTTTATGCATGTTTATGACAACTGTCATTAAGTGTCTTTCGCTCAATAATGACATTTTGAATGCAAATATGACATTGTTTAAGATGTCTTTGTTATGACACCTTGACATAAACCAATACATCATAACCTGTCAGTGTCTTTGTCATGACAACTTGACATTAAATTAAGTTAAACTGTCATGTGGTTGGTTTTGACATTGGCTGTCATAAGGCCATTATAACTGTGTCATGAATATTTTTCGTGACCTCAACTACAGTGGTACAAATTGAATTTGTCATTAAACAGTTATAATGGCTTCATGACAGCCAATGTCAAAACCAACCACCTGACAGTTTAATGTAATGTTAACCCATAAAGCTAAGTGGTTTCTTAAGTTTGATAATTAATCTGCTATGCCATGTTTATGACAGGTTGTGTTGTCTTAGTAATGTCAAGTTGTCATGACAAAGACACTGACAGGTTATGATGTATTGGTTTATGTCAAGGTGTCATAACAAAGACATCTCAAACAATATCATATTAAAAATGTCATAATTGAGCGAATGACACTTAATGACAGTTGTCACAAACATGCATAAAACTTCCTTCATATTCATAACATGTGTCATGTCATGATTATGAAGGTGTCATGTTAGTCTTATGCACACCCCTTCAAGTAAAGTGTTACCAAAAATGTTGAAGCAAGTGGCCATGCTTATGAATATCAAGTTTCGACTGATTAATGCAGGTGACTCTGAAGTCATCACACTGGAAAAACTCTTTGTGGCTTAGCAATTGACAATTAAATGTAACAATTAAAAATCAAGAATGAAAGCATGATTGAATGCCATTTTGCATAATTTTGCTCTCACCCACAGTAAACTAGCCTGGTTAAAACCAGAGCATTCTCAGTTGTAACTGAGTTATGGTCTGGCAAAGCGTCATAGACAAATCATTTCCAGAGGGGCATCACCAACGGACGTCACGGATAAACCAATCAGAGCGATGAAGGAGATGACGTATGCAGAGCGGCGGAGAAACATCTCCCGCGTGTTGTTCTTTGCTCGGTTTTTAACAAAAAGGAAACATTCAATTCGCTTAAAACAGACGCGATAGCTGATTCGAACGAGTGATGTTCGACGGCGGCATCCATCTTTGTAATGTAGGCTACAAAATCTGCTTCAAAATCCCAGCGCTGTCGTCATCGTGTAAAGCCCGCCCCAACGTTTCTGATTGGTGCCTCGATTTCGACGGATTGGAAATGGGCTTGAATTAGCTCTTTGCCAGACTAACTTTCAGAGCAAATCTAAATTTGCTGGAAGTTGTCTGGGTTTTCCCAGGCTAACAGAAAACAGCATTTAAGTGATACCACAGAAAAACCAGGGATAGCCGTCAAATTTGGCAGCCACTTTTATCCAAAGCAACTCACAATTTCTCTCAGTGTATACATTTCATGCATTTAAACAGACATTATTGTCCTGAGAATGCATGAGAACAGAATAATGGCTCAAAATAGCTATTTCCCCAATGTAAGTCAAATCACAAAATGTATTTTCATTTCTGACATACAGAAAATTTCTAATAAATGGCATTCAAACATATTCAAGTTTTTTTGTTTGTTTCTTACTTTCACAATTTCAATGACCAACAATGTCCAATTGTTATTAATACCATATTCAAGTCCCATCAGTTGCACAGCCTTCGCCATTGACAGATACAGTATATTTGCTTTTTTCAGCTTGACTGAGAATGTAATTCGATTTTGGTGTGTTTATGCCATGATCTGGAGTTTGCTTCCTTGTCTATAAGCAAATACAGAACTAGCCACATGCATCCAAGGCTCCCCATGGTCACACCTTGAGGCTTGAGACTCAGTATAAAGAGTGAAAGAGATCTGTCAGCATTGCATCATGTGAAGGGTTTGGTGAACATGGTTGTCACTGACAACCAGGAACTTACTTTACACTTGCAATAGAGAATGAGCAGCAGACAGAAAGAACACATAGAGTCTGCATATACAGTTCTTTTCTTTTTTTTCTCAGCTCTTATTTGGCACAACACTTTTCCCACTTTTATTGTACTTTAGTCTAATGCCCATATTGACTGCTTATGGTCACTGCTTTAAAACAAATATAAATAAAAACAGATGACTAAACATTATTTTGATAAAAAATATATATACATTATGCTTTTTTATTTTATCTTATAGGCTACCCTTGAAACGGCTTTTCGGCCAGGAAAAAAATGTAGGGCGGGACTGGACTTGATTTTGTCCATTTGGATTTGATGAGTCCATGACCTCACGCAAGTAAACATGTCATCAGAGAAGAGAAGATACAGTATATTGCAAGAGGGAGGGGAAGTTATTTTGATTCAAGATTATGAGGGCATGTGAATTAAAAAAAAAAAAGGTGTGCATGGAAAAATCATTTATAATAAATACTACAATATTCCATAAAAAAAAGACAAGAACTGTCCTTTTTAATTTCACTGTGACTTTCAATTGAAATTTCAAACTATTAATAAAGAATACCCTCTCTCTCTTCGTTAAAAAAACAACAACATTTGGATGACTCAAACATGTTTTCAGACTTGTTTTTTTGTTTTAGACTAAATAGCAGAGAAATATTACATACTTACTTTAATTGATTTAATGGATTTAATCAAATAAAAATAAACATGATTCTGTGACAGAGGAAACCTGCTTTTTAATTTGCTTGACTTTAAATGAAAATGGAATCATCTGCATCTCTGCACCACTTTTCTCACCGTGCAGTTTGATTAGCTTTTTAATTACAGTGGCAAAAAAAAAAAAAGAAAAAAAAAATTGGCCTCATTTCTCAGCATAATAAAAGATTAGATACTGGGTGCTCTGGGAATCCAGCTCCCTCTAAAGTGTACACTGCTGTCATAGCTTGTGTTTGCTTTCAACAGAGGGGAGAGGGGTGACAGGAACAATCACCATAACAATTTCCCACAGGAACTACTTGATTCTTTTAAGTCACGTACAATACAATGGTGACTTGAAGTCGGGGAAGGAGAGGCTTTTAGTCTCGGAGGAGTGAGGGGAGTCGAGCTAAGATGTTAGAGGTTACTGTGAAGTGAGCTGGTCTCGTTGCACTGTTAGTGGTACACTTCACCGCCAGACACATCATTATGTGATGTGGCAGTTGCTGTGTTTCTGAATCAGCTGTATTTTAATCTGTAATTTGTATTTAATTTATTAAAATGATTGTAATTTAATCAACATTAAATTACCATTCATTACAATTTATCAGTGAATATCCTGTTTCATTAGAAAATAAATTACATTTTATTTAAAGTCGACGTGAAACGGAAGTTACGATATTTTCTTCCCTATTGATGTACAGTAGGCTATAGTGAAACTGCTTCTCAAACAATAAAAAATGTAGGGCGGGACTTGATTTTGTTGATCGGGAATTGATTGGATCGTTGGTTTGCTATTGCTGTGATGTCATGTGAGTGACAGGTCATCAGATCATCAGAGAAGAGAAAAGATGTCGCTACACTGTAAAAAAACTTAACTCGTTATTTTGTGTTATCTTTTTGCATGGTTTTTTTTTTAGTTTAACTAACTTATTTCGATAAGAAAACTTAAAATTTCTTGTTGTCTGGACAATCTAGTTATCTCTACACAAAAAAATAAGTTGAAATAACTAAATTGCTAAAATATTTTTTACAGTGTACAAGAGTAAGTTATTTTGATTAGAACACAAATTAAACAAATTATAATGATGTGCATGCATAAATCATTTATAACAGATACTTTGGACAATTTTGATTTAGTACTTTAATTAAATTAAAATGGGTTGGGGATACAGTTCCTTTCTTACAAATACATTTCAAAGGGTTAATATACCCTCTTCCTTCGTTAGCTGAGACAACGCTGGAATAAAAAAATAAAAAGAGAATAATTTCAAACATGTTATTTCTGAATAGCAGCCAATAGCAGCACTCTGCTAGCAGGAATGTCTAAAAATGTACAGATTAAAACAAAATGTTGCTTATGTGTGAGGGTCACCAGAATTCACATTTGCTGAGCTATCTTAAGTGCACATTGTTTCCTCCGCTAATTGAAAGATTGAAGAAATTAGATGAATGCATCTCTTCCATTTTACATCCATCACAAGAAGATGAGCTCCATGGCAACTAATCAAACACTGCAATTCTTAGCTTAGTAACTGGCTTGCAGCCAAAACCAGTCCCTGTTCTTTAAGATAATGACTCCTTGATGCCAGCAAACATCCATTTTCCAGTTTAATTAACCTTCAATATATAACATGCTTCCATGTTTCTGGCTTATTATGGTGGCTGATCCAATCAAAAGTGTTCAGTCTTTCTTTCTGGCACTAGTTTATTTAAATATGCCAAGTTTGCCCTCATGTGGTCTGTAAAGGAACTGATGGATAGATTGGTACAGGACGCCAATAACATATGTTCTTCCATTTTATGATAGTGATTAAATATATTATAATAAGCAGACACTGTATCTGAATAGAACACATTCATGCATCCTAAGGGACTTAGATATTTTGATAGGCTATGTCAAGCAAGTTCGGTGAATTTTGTTGTTGTTTTTGTCTTGGATTTGATTTGGTTTGGTGTTGAGCCTTCCATGTCAGTTTCTTGTTGGAAATATAGTATTCATACCATTTTGCAGTCAATAAATACCTTTTTTATTTATTTATTTTTTAACTTAGAGAGGAACCTGTGTTTAGAGTAATCTTTTCCGGACGGCGAGTTTAGTGCTGCTGCACAAGTCGACGGTCAAGGATTACAGTGATGCAGTAAAATGTGAGTGAGTTTTATAAAATATACTTGTGACTGTTATGTTGTTAATATATCTTATGAGACTGATTCGACGCTCGACTGTGGTCTCCGTGATTTCGGTCCCTGAAATAATATCTTAATCGCACCATCTATTTTATCTCTCAGGATATGGCTTACTCATGCATTGGAATTAAAATATTTAATTTTTAAGATAACAATATTATTTTCTGACGTCGATATGTAATTAATTGAATCTGTTATTAATATGAATACCCTAGTAATGTTAATACTATTCTAGTCTAAATATCTTTCACACAATTAGATATGAAGTCTACAATTTGTTACATAGTCAATCCAACTCTTATTGATGCTTAAGTAATAAGAAACACGACAGAGGTTTAATGACATGTACCAGATACACTGATTCATTATTTATACCTGTGCTTTATTCTAGATCAACACACCCAGTTTGTTCTTCTTGCCCAATGGGCTGACAGCGGGGGCGGGCCAAGATGTTGAGTGACATTCCTCGGGACGCCCTTCTTCGCCCACTCACTCGGAATGAGGTGGTGGGGATGTTGGTGAGACTGACCATTTTTGGAGCTGCAACATATTACAGCATAAAATGGGTGGTGGACGCTTTGGACCCAACACAAAAACAAAAATCCCAAGCCAAGAAAAGGGTAAAGTTTTTTTTTTTACCCTTTAAATGACCACCTGCTACTGGTCGTGTGCTGCATTTGATTATAAGTGTTACAGTAAATGTTGTTCCAGTGAATATAAAACTTAATTTACAGATCATATTTCATGCAAGTCTGTAGGTCAAAGTGCCTAGGGATTTATTTCATCGTGGCTTATTATTGATTCATCCCAGTGACTCAAATCATTTAATTATTTTCACCAAAAATACTCTTAATAGTGATAATGGCTTGACCATTATTTCTTGTGAATTGTTATGTTGTATATTTAATTGATTTGTTTTTATTTATTGACTCCCGCACTCTCCTCAGGCAGAGCAGTTGATGAAGCAGATAGGCGTAGAAGGAGTCAGTCTGACGGAGTATGAGATGAACATCGCCACTCATCTTGTTGATCCTCGCAGCATCAAAGTAAATACCAATACTGTTGTAATCAATGGAAACCTATCATTAAATCACACTGTGTGTGCATCTCATTACATCAGTGATTTTGAAGAAAGGACATGCTCTTAAAGGGATAGTTCACTTTGAAATTAATTTTTGGTATGTTTTAGCTTACCTCAAGGGCAACCAAGATGTAGGTGTCTTTGTTTCCGCAGTAGTTTAAATTTTGATTTTTTTAGGTCAAACCGTTCTTGTCTGTCAGTCATATAATGCAGGTCTATGGTAACTTCCTCAAAGAGCATGCAGAGAGAAGTCCAAATTAAACATGATTTAATGACTCGTAAATGTAAGTACACATTGATGGCCTAAGACATGAAACGAGCGGTTTGTGTGAGAAAACGAACAGTATTTATATCGTTTTTACCTCTTTTAAACAAAGCCACGTCCAAGTGATCTGAGGGCGCGGGCGCTTCGGTCTTTTCCGGCAAGCGCCGGAAAGCGCCGGAAGTGATCTCTCGCGCGTATACGTCACTCATTGTTTACACAGAACAGAGATTGTAGGTAAGACGGCTAATTAAAATGGTACTAATTTGCGCTTATCCTGGATGTTTAAACCGTCGTAAAAGAAAACAATTAAAAAAAATAAAACAATTGTATGAGTGACGTACACGCGCAAGAGATCACTTCCGGTGCTTTCCGGCGCTTGCCGGAAAAGACCGAAGTGCCCGCGCCCTCAGATCACTTGGACGTGGCTGTGTTTACAAGAGGTAAAAACTATATAAATACTGTTCGTTTTCTCACACAAACCGCTCGTTTCGTGTCTTAGGCCATCAATGTGTACTTACATTTACGAGTCATTAAATCATGTTTAATTTGGACTTCTCTCTGCATGCTCTTTGAGGAAGTTACCATAGACCTGCATTATATGACTGACAGACAAGAACAGTTTGACCTAAAAATATCAAAATTGAAACTACTGCGGAAATAAAGACACCTACATCTTGGATGCCCTTGAGGTAAGCTAAAACATACCAAAAATTAATTTCAAAGTGAACTATCCCTTTAATGACATGTTTTGTTTATGTTATTGATTGTCATTTTGCTCTGTTCATATTCAGTATTATTATTCAAACTGATTTAGAATATATGTCAATTGTGTTGACAGATTGGACATTTTTACTCTGTTTACACCCATGAAGGTGCAAACCTGTAATCATTGTTACCATAGGCCAGGGGTTTTCAACTCTGTTCCTCGAGATCTACTTTACTGCAGAGTTTAGCTCAAACACACCTGAACAAGCTAATCAAGGTCTTCAGGATCACTTATGTGCTTCTCAAATGGAAAGCTGCATCCGAGTGAGGCTGTGTCCTCCCTAGACCAGTCCTTCAGGAGTTTCTTGGCTAGACTCCTCCAGCATTAAACACTAAAATGAGACGCTCTATTAAGTCTGTATGGCTACATCACACATGTTCCCGCCCCCATGATCACTGGGCTTACATAATTGGCTGTTTAGTTTAGTTCACCAAAAAATAAAAACAAATGCCATCAGTGACTCACCCTCATGTCGTTCCAAACCTGTAAGACTTTCATTCCTCTTTGAAACACAAATGAAGATATTTAAAGTGAAATCTGAGCGATATCTGTCCCTGCATTGACAGTCCACGCAAACTACCACTTTATTGTTTCAAATTGTTCATAAAGAGATGGTAAAACTAATCCATATTAATTAAGCAGTTTAGTCCATATTTTCTGAAGAGACTCGATTGCTTAAAGGGTTAGTTCACCCAAAAATGAAAATGATGTCATTAATGACTCACCCTCATGTCGTTCCAAGCCCGTAAGACCTCCGTTCATCTTCGGAACACAGTTTAAGATATTTTAGATTTAGTCCGAGAGCTTTCTGTCCCTCCATTGAAAATGTATGTACGGTATACTGTCCTTGTCCAGAAAGGAAATAAAGACATCATCAAAGTAGTCCATGTCACATCAGTGGGTTAGTTAGAATGTTTTGAAGCATCGAAAATACATTTTGGCCCAAAATTACAAAAACTACGACTTTATTTTAAAACCTTTCTGGATAAAAACTCCATAAAACAGTTATAAAAGTTGTAAAAATTACATAATCCAGAACCTTTCTACAGTGTGTGCCAAAGTAAAGACTGTAAGTCTTTTCCATCACAGCCATGTTTTCATCAGCGTTAAATTCAGTATGGCTAACCTGACTAAAGTCTATTGGCCTGACGGCCCCCCTTCAAGTCAGTATTGGCCTATATGATTGAATATCTTCTTCCTTTCTTGAAAGGTGACATGGAGAGATGTTGCTGGGCTAGATGAGGTCATCTCAGAGCTGCAAGACACTGTCATTTTGCCTTTTCAGAAACGTCATCTCTTCTGTGGTTCCAAACTCTTGCAACCTCCCAAAGGTGAGTCATGGAAAAAGCGAATGGGCCCTGACCTTGTCAGTGCATTTGGAGTTTGTGCTTTCCATCCTATTTTTATCATACTTGCAGGTAGCAGTATATGCGAAATATCAAAGTGAAGTATATTATTCATAATTGTTTTATATTTACGATTCCCAGGTGTACTATTGTATGGGCCACCGGGATGTGGAAAGACTTTAATTGCCAAAGCAACAGCGAAAGCATCTGGATGCCGCTTTATTAATCTACAGGCCTCCACTTTGACTGACAAGTGGTACGGCGAATCGCAAAAGCTGACTGCTGCTGTATTCTCATTGGCGGTCAAGATTCAGCCCTGCATAATTTTCATTGATGAAATAGGTAACCACTGAATATGCTCTAAAAATGTACAGATATTTAGAGATTCCAGAAAGATAGGATAAATATTACAATGCCAACTTGTTTAACGTGCCAAATAAATTCTAGCACTCCTAGAGTGATAAGCTTGTCTGTAATCACTATGGATATGCAGGTGTTTATTATTCATGGTTTTTATGGAAAACATGGTACATGTACATTTGCATAATGACTGCAATGTTTTCGACTGTATTTTCAATGCTGATGACATTTGAATAATACTGTACTGTGACCCATCATCTGTGAAACTGAAGAATCTGGACGCTGCACACAGAGTCTCTCAGGCGTTTTATCATAATGTACTTGCTGAACAGTCAGTAAACGTTAATTATATTAAATAGTTACTCTTCTCTTAAAGCCGGTTCCGCATATTCAATTACAGATGCTGAAAAAGCAAAATTGTTGAAAAACTAGTCTATGACTGCAAAAAAGTTTCTAAGTTGTTGCTTTAATTTCATGTTTAAAATGTAAAAATAATATAGTTGTTTTGTTATAGTTGCACTGTATATAATTTTACATAACTGTAATTTATAAATATTTTTAAATACTATATGAATTAAATATTTTATATACACTACCGTTTAACAGTTTGGGGTCAGTAAGATTTTTTTTTTTTTAAGAAATGTTTTTAAATTGCATTAAATTGAATATAATGCTGACAAGTTTTCTAAAACATTTCACAATATTACTATTTTTATTTTACTGTATTTTTGATCAAATAAATGCAGACTTGTTGAGCATTAAAGGTCTTCTTTCAAAAACACAAAAAAATCTGACTGACCCCAAACCTTTTAACGATTCTATATATGTAGTTCTACACTATATTTAGATTTTGTGCTGATTTCATAGTGTGCATTATGAAATGTATATCTACATAAAATCTATCTCTTGTCTCAGATTCATTCCTGAGGAATCGTTCCAGTATGGACCATGAGGCCACCGCTATGATGAAGGCCCAGTTCATGAGTCTGTGGGATGGACTAGACACAGCACAAAACAGTCAGGTAACACACGTCACGCACATGTAGATTTCATAGGTCATTGGATTTCTTTAAAAGTGTTACGAACAACACTTTCTATAATATAAAATGTGACAGAAAGTAAAAGTGTATGTCAATGTTCAGGTAATGGTGATGGGGGCTACTAACAGACCACAGGATGTGGATGCAGCAATACTGCGCAGAATGCCTACTGCCTTTCATGTAGGCCTGCCTGTGAGTATGGTCAACACACACACCTTTATATTCTGTTGCCCATCTTAATCAGGACAAAACTGAATTATTTTTGGTCCATTTTCAGAATGCAGCTCAAAGAGAAGAAATCCTTAGACTAATTCTGTCTGGTGAAAACGTAAGACATGAAGCTCTTCTCTTTTGCACAAAAATATTTTGTCTGTTTAAATATATTGTTTATTTTAACCCTCTGGGGTCCTTCGGCCCAAATGGACCCGAAGCATTTAAATATATATTTTTTTTAAATCATTGCTTTATCGGAATGGTCCGAAATTTGGTGACTTTGTTGGTACTTGGCATATGAACACCCCAAAAAATGGGGGACAGGATTTGAATAGTCTAAGTGGTTGTAAAAAAAATAGTCACACTCAGGACCTTCGGGTCCAAATGGACCCGCATAGGAAATGAATGGGAAATTGGCAAAAATGTGAAAATACAGAGTTATTTTGTGCGTACAAACTACAAATCAGCCACGATCCAGAAAAAAAGCACACAACAGTGAAGGGGTGAATCTATAAATCATCAAGAGTGCAAAACAGACACATCCACACACACAAACACACTTTTATACACATACACACTAATAAATTCAGATTACATATGGGTTTTGAATTTTTAAAATGCTCAGTTTGTCCACCAGATGGCATCCATCTCATTTCAAAAATTGCTTTCATGAGGCCTAGGCTTGACTCTAAAATGAAATACAGCTTTAAAAAAAAAATATATATATATATATATATATTTTTTAAATTTATATTATATTCAATGGGGAAAAAATGGGTCATAATTATTGCATTAATATTAATTATAAATCATTTTTATTTTTGAAATTATCTCAAAACACCAAAAAAGAAAAGAAAAAATATTATAAAAAACAAGTAAAAAAAAAAAAAGATGATTTTTTTTTTATAAATATTAATCCCACCCTTCCGGCCCATTTGGACCCGAAGGTCCTGAGTGTGACTCTGAAATGAAGGACCCCAGAGGGTTAAAGGTGAGGTGGCATATATTTACATATATTTACACTACCATTCAAATGTTTGTGGTCAGTAATTTTTTTTTTTAAATGTTTTTGAAAGAAATCTTGGTTACACTTTACAATAAGATCTCATTTGTTAACATTAGTTAACTACAAAAAAAGAAGAAGAAAAAAGAAATGGGCCTTAACTACAAATTATTGGTCAGGAAATTAGCTAAATTTAAGCAAATGCACTACTTAAAAAGCCATTGCTGTCTCAGAAAATCATCAAAGACTGAATGAAGTTTTTGGCAGAATATGGGAAGTTGTGTGTGGAGTGATGATTCATAATGAAACACGAGTTACATGGTGATGCTTCAGAGCGGTGTCTTCAAAAGAAAGCATCTGATAAATATAATAATAAATGCATCTCTACCACAGTGAAGAATGGAGGAAGAGTGTCATTGTGTGGGAAGCCTTTTAAGCTGCTGGTATTGATAAGCTACTTCACTGTGAAAAGACATTTAATGCTTTGGAGATCAGGAGAATATTGCTAGCTTTCTTCCCACAAATGAAAAGTTGTTATCTAAAGAGGAATGATCAGATGTTATTTTTCAACAAGACAATGCTCCTGCCAAAAAGACAACCAAGAAGTGGCTTGAGAACAAGTCCATCAGGCTCATGTTTTGGCCTGGTCAGAGCACAGATTTGAACCCTATAGTGAATATTTGGTCTCACATTAAACTCAAAACATTTTTCAACTACTCATAAACTGCTCAAAGCCATTAACACTGAGTAGAACAACACTGAATCTTCTTCCTGTAAAAAAAATGTCTGCACGTTTACCCACACGGCTTAAGCATTTAAAGAAAACAAAGGGCTAGGCTAACTATGTGCTGCTAAATTACTTAAAGCAACACTAAGTAAGATTTTTTACCTTAAAATAATGTTTTCAAAATCGTTTCAGTGGTTCATCAAGTCGTGACATGGTGAAATGCACGTATGCCATCGCTTTGCGGTCCTTTATCTGATATATCCACGCTATTTAAGATTGCCAGATCGGGTCGCGTTTCTGTAGTCCGAATGAGACATAAGAAAACTACAAATTTGACTTGCTTTACGGCAAGCGTTACAATTGCCGATAGGTGGAGCGTACTCGACAGTAGACTACAACTACATGTAAGATACCTAGCAGCCGGGTAGCTTTTGAATTGTCATCATGATTCCAAAGCCGGTGCTGGATAAACAGAGAGCATTAGGCTAAATTATTTACGACAGCAGTAATGGACAATTCCGCTTCCAACCAGTAGGGTTAAAAGACCACTAAATGTTTAGCCATTTTAGGCTTGGCCCCTTTTTTTTATTTCAATACTAATCAAAAATTGTTAACATTAGTTAATGAACTGTGAACTAACATGAACATTAATTGGTCATTAAAAGGTTAATAAATGTTATAAAAATATATATTGCTCATTGCTAGATCAGGTTTGATAACAAAGGTAACAAATGAGACCTTATTGTAATGTTACAGAAGTATTTTATGCTCATCAAGGTTGCATTTATTTCATCAAAATGTCACATGTTCCTTCAGAAATCATTCTAATATGATTTTGGTGCTCAAGAAGCAATTCTTATTATTTTCAACGTTGAAAAAAAGTCGTGCAGCTTAACATTTTTGTAGAAACCGTGACATTTTTTTTACGATTCTTTGATGAATAAAAAAGATATTATAAATGTCTTTACTGCCACTTTTGATCAATTTAATACACCTTTGCTTAATAAAAAAAACTGACCGCAAAACTTTTGAATGGTTATGTATAAATTATTTTTGATTTGAATCTTTATTTTTCATCAGTTAAGTAACGCGATTAACCTGAAGGAAATAGCGGGGCAAACCGAGGGCTACTCCGGCAGTGATCTGAAAGAGCTGTGCAGGGACGCCGCCATGTACCGCGTCAGAGACTATGTCCGCAAACAGCAGATGAAACAGATCGCACAGCAGTTCCAGCTGGATGAAGAGGAAGAGTATGTCTAAGATGCTTTGTATAATACACACACAATGTTTGCATTTTATTTTTTGTGTGCACGAAACGCAGCTCTCACATCACGTCCTAACCAAAGAGGTATATAATATCTATCTGAAATCTATCCCATTAATCTCAAGCTGGTTCATCTTCCTGTTTTGTTAGAAGAAAAACAAACCAAGGTATTCTTGTGAGTTTTGAGATGCTGTGTAAATGTGTTAAATATAATGTAATTTAAAGATGGCTTGAAACGGATGTTGCGATAGTCCCTATTATGATATATATATATATATATACACGAGTGAAACGGCTTCTCAAACAAGAACAAATGTAGGACGGGCCTTGATTTTGTTCTTCAGGAATTGATTGGATCGTTAGTGGTTTGCTATTGGTGGATCTCATGTGAGTGACAAGTTGTCCCGCCCTCACGCCAGTAAACATTTCATCAGAGAAGAGAAGAGATGAAGCTGCAAGAGGGGGGGAAAGTTATTTTGATTAAAGATTACGAGGGGATGAGAATAAATAAAACGGATAAATCATTATAATAAATACTGGAAGTTTCCATTTAAAAAAAAACAAGAATTGTGCATTATGATTTCATGGTGAATTTAAATATTTTTTCACTGTGTATATTACTGTAAATACTGAAAATTAGTTGACATGAAAATAATGTCACAATGCAAAAAAAGTCATATACAGTGTAGTTGCTCAGCTGGTTCATCTTCAAGTTTTGTTTGAAGAGAAACCATTCAAGATAGTCTTCAGAGTTTTGAAGTGCTATTTATATATATAGGAGTGAATGTAAATGTATATTACTCACTAAAATCTAGCAAAACTCATGTCACTGATTTTGTCCCTGGTGTCCTCTGGTGTGTCCTCAGGCATTTGGACGGCACGCAGCTGAGGCCCGTGACTCAACTGGACCTGCTGTTTGGCCTAGATAAGATGAGAGAGTCCAAACAGGCCACAGTTACAGCTGACCCAACAAATCTGAGAGAGGTGCCTCTGGACTGAAAACCTCTCGCTTTACACCTTCATACACTCATTTTCTCTCTCTCGCTTATTTCTTTCTGCCTCATTCTTTCTCTCCTTTTCATATTTCTGTTGCGTTTCAAACATTACTACTTTGCACTATAATGAATTTACAGTCACACACTCAATACAACAACCATGTTTATGTGTTGTAACAATAATAATAATAGTATACACGCATACATAATATTTCAGATATGATTATCTTTTGGGTGCATATTGTTTAGAAGCAGATATTGAACCACTTTTTGGATTTGAGAGAGAAATAAAAAAACAATCTTTGCTATGTCTATAAATGTTTTAGTAATCAGGACCAGATTTCCTGAAACACCAAGTGTAGTCTAACTGTCTTATTAGGATGCATGAGTGTTAAAGTTATACTGAATGATGCATGTGTGATCTTCGTTAACACCAATTTAGCCATGATGAGATGACTGTGTTAATTTGAGCAAGGGGCATGTCTGGGTCGTATTTTAACCCAAAATCAAAAGAAAATAAATTTGCATAAGGAAAATTTGTTTCTTTTCACCGTGAATTGGTTTCATGTCAATTAATTATCAATTTATACAGTAGTGTGATATATTGATATATATTATTTGCATTTTCTATTATTTTAAATATTTAACTTATACTTTACAATTATATAGTATTAAAAATCAAATTATATTTATTACATTTGAATAAAAATAATTTTGATTGTATTATAATACTGTATACTGTGTTTTATTACTGTGTATGTTTATATTACAGTAAAGAGAATTTGAGAATAATTTCCATTTTTTATCTTTTGGTTTTGGGTTGAAATATGTTTTGTGAGATCCAAGTGACCAGATATTTATCATTTGTTTGTCTTAGTGTACAAAAGTTTTTATTTGTAGAAATAAAAATAACAAAAAAAAAAAAGTGCCACATCTCACACATAAAGAAATGGCTCTAGGTATAGACGGCTTTGTATCCACATGAAGCAAGGGACAAATCACAGGGACAAATGGTGCTACATGTATCTACTTAGAATTAAGTCATTTCTCACTTTGGTTATTGAAAGATGTTAAACATCTGTCAAATATTGATGTTCAGATTAGTCAGAGTGTGTTTAGAAAGGTTTCACTTGGAAAATAACACATATATCACTCGATGTGTCAAACCAGCATCATGATACTCATTTATCAGAAAATAATAATGGGCACAAAGGTCACTACCAGTTTTGTCCGTCCTCACTGAAGTTTCTGGCCTTTCACCAGCTCTAAATGCAAAACTTTTGCTCTTGCCAAACCGTTCCAAAGATTTAAGCAATTTTTTCCCCATTGGCTTGGATATGTTATAAGGTAGCTGTATGTCTCCATGTGTTACTTTGATAATGAGTTTTGTGTTGGGGAAAAAAAACATGTCTGGCAGCTTAATTAACTGTCTGTCAAACATTGCTTATTGAAATGGCAAATACATTTATTAGATTTGTGCTTTTATCGTGCCATGTGCATTTCCAATGATTTGACAATATGACATATTTAACATGTAAATGAAGCAAATGTGCTTGTTTGGCAAACTATGCCCACAGTAGTTCCATGTTTGCGGAGAGATTTGGCTTCCTTTAGGCCTTTAATGCTGCTCTGTTCTGCTTTGAATGTTTGCTGTTCCGCTTTGGTAATCACGTACCTGGTTGTGTTATAAAGAGAGGGAAAAATTTACTCAGATCTCCTTGCTTTTTGTTGCTACAATCACCTTCTGTTGTCACATAAAATATTGGTCTTAATGTTGGGATAGTTTTGCTGAAAATACCTTTTCCCTGTTAAATTCTATAACTTTTCCATGCTTATTTTGTCAGAAAAAAAAGAGCAATCATTCATTCATATTGTCTGGCTAAATTTAAGATAAAATAATTTTCTCACCAATAAATCTCCACAGTGTGACTGTTGCATTAAGTGTTTTCTCAACTTATAATAAACCCATCTGGAATGTATTAAAAGATTGTCAGAAGAATCATGTACTTGCAGTTCTTGATGTGAACATCATTCTTTGGCCTTTTCACCATCTCCACACATGTACAGAGCGTTCTGTTCTTGCAATATGATAACAAGAGGCAGACGTAAGAGAAGCTGTTGACATTCAGCTCTTTGCTGTACTTTGTGCCTCGTTTGCATCAAAACTGCATAACCTTTGTTACAGTCATGAGTCAATTTTCTTTGAATCATGAAGCTCTCTCATCACCTCTTTCTCTCCATTCCTCGGTAAACAGCCAAAAATAGAAACTGAAAGAAAATAGAAATAGAACTGATGTCATTGAGTTCACACTGATCTGTTGCTAGGCAGTTTTCCTCTGTGATAATGATATATAACTGATAACTAATTGATAGTTATATAAGCTTTTAATGCTTGTATATTATAAAATGTTATTTTTAACCTGGATCCTCTCAGAAAGATAGAGTTTTTTTTTTTATCATGGTCCGCAGTAGGAGTCCACAAGAGGGCAGTATTTGTATTGCAATATTTCTGAGACTTTTAAAAGTTCTTGAGTGTTTAAAGGAATAATAGAAAACCCAAACTTCAGGAAAAGTTCCGAAAATTAAGCTGGTGTTTTTTTTTTCATGCAATTGCAATGAATGGGAACTGACACCTTCTATATTCTAAAAGTTCAAGATCTTTATTGTCATATGTAAAATGAAATTCTTATTTTTTTAAGGAAACAATGTGACGTGTGCTAAATTGCAAGTCTTGTAAAGTCATAGTTTTATGTTTTGCATGGACCTAAATTGAAGTCATTATTTACTGAAAATCTTGAAATCTGCCCTAGCTCTCTTTGACATATGTGGGACAAGTAAAAATGTCCAGTTTATAAACGTATCATTTTGAATCTTTTTTTATATATATATAAATAATTTTATCCAGTTCAAAAAACATTCTGAATTGTTCACAAATCGGATGAATATGCTACAGTTTTTTTACTTTCTCTTTCCAGTTTGAAAGTCCACATAATTGTATAGAAATGAGTGGCCAGTATAATTATTCAATATGTCTGCTTTTGTGTTTCCATAGAAGAAAGGAAGAAGAAAGACATATGGGTTTGGAATGACATGAGAGTGAGCAAATGATCACAGATTTGTCATTTTTGGGTGAACTAATCCTTTAAATCCTGACTTAAGGCAGTAAACCAGATCCACTGCTGGAAAACGCTTCCTTTAAAATCTAGATCTCTGGAGCATGTGAATGTACGAGTAAAAACATTATTTTATTTTTTAAAGAAGTCTCTTGTGCTCATAAAGGTTGTATATATTTCATCGAAAATACAATAACATTGTTAAATATTATTACAATTTAAAATAACTGTTTTCTATTTTAAAATATTTTAAGATATAATTTATTCCAGTGACGCTTCATTTCTCCAGTGTTTAGCGTCACATTATCCTTCACAAATCAAGAAACATTTATTATTATTATTATAAATGTTGACTAATGTTGACAAATTGTACTGCTTAATGTTTTTGTTTAAATCATAATACTTTTTCAGGATTCTTTGATGAATAGAAAAGCATTTATTTTAAATAGAAATATATATATATATATATAAATTCTGGATTGGCCCGAAACCGAGAATGCTTTTAAAAAATAATTTATTTTATATTTTAAATTAGCAATATATTTTATCCTCAAATTTTCAGCCCGTGTTCTCTTTTGGCCTATAATTTTCAGTTATATATATCAGAACTGACATTATTTTCTTCCGCCTGTAAACTGTTAGTGCCTCAAGGACTGTCCCAAATGACCTGAAGAAGGGACGTTTATATATTAAATATAGAATTAAATATATAAACATCCCTACTTCAGGACCTGTGGGACAGCCCTTGAGGCACTAACAGTTTATAGGCGGAAGAAAATAATGTCACAGTTCTAATAGCTTTGGACATTAAAGAGACAATTCCACTGAAACACCATAAGATTACATGTGTGAACATGCCATAGTCCTGCTACAGGAGGCATGAGGACTGCAGAGGTGGCCAGTGCAATAATCTGCAATGACCATAATGTAAGATGTCCAAGACAGTGCAGGGAGACAGGAAAGAAAGCTCATCGTCCTTGCAGTGCTAAATCATGTGTAATCATATGTCCTCCCAGACGTTTTTGAGAGCTTGCATGTGCCTTGGTGGAAGAGTGGAGTAACATCTCACAGCAAATACTAGCAAATCTGGCTCAGTCCTTGAAGATGAGATGCACTGCAGATGGAAACACCACACACTGACTGCTACTTACTGACTTCTCTCTTCAGGGACTCATTATTCAATTTCTGTCCGTCTAATGTATGTGAAATTTGGTTTCATTAATATTGATGAGGTCTTGTCATTCTGCAGTTTCTTGTGATGATCAGGAACTTTAATACTGTCATAACATGCAAATTCAAATCACAGGAAAAGTGTTGCATTTATTTCTGATAATTTTCACTGGCTGTTTTGGTATGCACATATTTATTATACAATTATAACAGTAAAACAAATGGCAGATGTCATCAGGATTGTGCATTGTTTAAATGAGTGTGTTTAAAGCCGAGAGCTGTTTTTGATGTGTGATTGAGAGGCGCAGGCTGCGTGCTGTTTTACTGATTACCGCATCTTTAAATGTTTAGTAAAAATCAGGGCCTAGTGTCTCGAAACAAGTTTAAAGGTGCAATGTGTAATATTTCTGAGGATCTATTGACAGAAATGCAATATAAGATCCATAACTATGTGTTCAGTGGTGTATAAAGACCTTACTCAGTGAACCGTTATGTTTTTATTACCTTAGAATGAGACATTTATATCTACATAACCGCGGGCACCCCCTTCTATGAAGGTCGACATATTGTGACGTCATGTTTCTCCCGTGGCCGACAGCGAACAAACAGCACTACAGAGCGCGTTTCGTTCATACCTTGAAAGAGAAGCCGCAGAAAGCTAGAAGCTAGCCATAGACACCGTGAGTAGTGACTTTTCCCTTGTCAGTGGTGTAAAATATGTAGTTGGATTGTTTCATGTAACTTAGTTCTTCTCCCTCGCTGTGTTATGGCTTTGACAATCAGCTGATTAGTACTAAGCATTTTAAGTCGATCGCAAAGAGTTTTCAAAACCACAGAAAAAAACTATATTTTTATTCATTATTATTTATTAATTTGTGTGTAGTAAATAGTGTCTAGGGGATGCGGAGGCACGCGCGCTGTTACAATCATGTCATTTTTGCCGCGCGCACCTTTGTGCTCATGCGGACGCGTCGAGTATAAACAATGCTTTACGCTTTAACCAGCTCAGCCACAGCCCTACAGCATAACAGCTCATATTAGCCAGCTAAACTTTTACTACCCTGTTAGAAAAAATATGTAGTTGGATAGTTTCATGTGGTTCTTCTCCCTCGCTGTATTATGTGTTTGCTATGTGGGGAGAAATGTGCTGGTTACGTTCGTGAGACAATCAGCTGATTACTATTATTATATTATATATTAAAGGTTCTCTAAGCGATCCTGGGTGACGTCACTTCTTGTTGACGTTCGAACTA